CCCTGGTACCTGTGCAGGGGACACTAGATTACCTTTTCCTTAGGAGAATGAAAACACTGAAAAATAAAGCAGTTCTACTACTTATAAAATACAACTATGCTTGAGCCATCCTAAAAATAGAAGTCGTTATATTACTTTCACTTTAATAGTTTTTGGCAAAAGTTGAAAGGTCTAATATGCTTATATGTATAGTTGATATGTTTAATTGTTTAAACATTTTTCTCAACAAAATTGATCTTACTAAGTAATATTTTGTGAAGTTGTGCAGATAAGCTTGCAGAAAATAACTTCAGTTTCACTATTTTTAAAACATATTTTTCAGGTGACCATATTTAGTCTCAGCCCCTAGAAGATTTCATCCTCCCTGTCCTTATTAAGTGATTTTCACTGTCAATCTAGTTTATTCTGTTGGAAGATTGATTATTATACTTCAGTGACTTAAGAGCAATTCTTGAGAACTAATTCACTGTGAAAGTTCAGAACCCATAAATGGCATATCCTCTAAAGTGCTCTAAAATGAAAAGTGATCACCGCAATACTTACTATCAACAACAGAAGTAGCACAGAGAGAGCATACATGGGAGGCAAAACAAATATCCAGAGACTAAAATGTGGTGAGGCTATATCTCTTCAGAGATATAGTCTGAGGGAAAGATCATGTTTGAAAATATTGTGACAGGAAGTTGCAGTAGGGGCATTTTGAATTTTGGTTTATGTTCAGGACATGGGAAACAATAGATTGGTTACTTTTGGGCAAAATCTTCTAGACTGCTTGGTCTCTTCTACTTTTGAGCTTTAGGGTTCTTTCCATTATGACAGAATATTTTGGGGGCTGAGGAAACAGGCTCTGAGAGAATTACATGAACCATGGTGTATGGGAGGTCCTACCTGAACCTCCAGATCTCAATGTGGTTGGATTGACTTCCAAATTCTTGTCAGACTATCGAGTTAAAAAAATAAAATGGGAAAGAAGACAAACCATTACTACCCAATATAACATTAAACTAAATGGCAAAGTTGAATAATGAATATATGGGAACTTTATGGCCTGAAACTTGAAAGTTCATTGTATCTTTTTGGAATGGTTTGCTGAACACACTGGTAATGGACAGTTATCAAAACTTGCTTGAAATGAACATTTGTGTCTAGGAGATGAGTAATGAAGAAAATATGTTATTAGGTATAGTGAAAACGAATAGTATGTGTAGAAATGCATGCTTGTAATAACTATTCATTCAATTCTAATTAAAACCTGGGTACGTTTTCATGATGATCCTCAAGTTTTCACAGTATATGTAAAAACTCATTTAGAAAAGCAAAGGTTAATAAAGACATTTTAGAAAACAATAATTTCATTAAAAGTTCTGGGATAGCAGAGATCCTGCATTATTTGAAGACTATAACATTTACACGTGTATTTATTAATGAATTAATAAAAGATTGGCCAGATACTATGTCTATAATGGCACCTGAGGAGATTAGGAGATCAAGCACAGCAAGGGTTAGTACTAGTTATTTGTAGAGAAATAACATGCTGGAAAATTATTCCACAGAACTTTAAAATATTTGTCTGGAACAGATAATAAAATGATGCAAAAAGAATGTTGTACTTAGACTGGGTATTCCTAGCTCTTTTCCTGAGCATGTTATCTTGCTTATAATGATATTTAACACATTGGGAGTCTTCAATATTTCATTTCATGTTTTTCATTCAAATGAATTCCAAAACATCAGTATATATTTCAAAAGGAATTGTCACCATAATTAATATTTTAATAATGACAAAAAATAAAAACCTCTTTAAAAATATATATTGAAGATGTAAGTTAGATTTGCATTTATTTTCTTTTGGCCAGTGTTTCATTAAATAAGCCATGCATCTTTAATTTCATTTCTAAAGTTATATTAACAATTCTTCAATAAATCACAATAAAGCATGAATTGAAGGTATTTATCAATCTAATATGCTGATCTCCTAATAGTGCCACTCCCTATGATATCATGGAGGCAATTTACATTCTAACTACCACATTTGACTCCATGGTCCTCGTAAGCCTGTCTCAACTAACCTATCACAGTCCCAACAATGTTTAAAATCAAAAGTTCAAATTCTCTTCTGAGATTCACCCAGCATCTTAAATGTAATCCCCTATAAAATCAAAATCAAAACAATCATATACTTCCAACATTGAATGGCACAGGATATACATTAGCATTCCAAAACACAGGGGAGGGATTGTAGTGAGGCAATACTGGACAAAAGCAAGACTAAAAATCAGCTGTGCAAACTCCAAACACTACACCTTCAAGTCTGGTGTCAAAATGCTCTTCAGATCTCCAATTATGTTCTGCTTTGCTGACCACCACACAATTCTTTCTTTTCAGCTGGTTTTACTTGCTGTTAGCAGCTTCTCTTGACTGGTTTCCCATGGCTCTAGCATCTCTAACACCTTGCGGTCTCCAAGGCAATCTACGATTCCACTTCACAGGTTCACACAACAGTCTCGCTACTATGCCACCATTCAGGGACACCCCTGACACCTGCCTGGCTTCGTACCTTTATTCCATAACTCATTTCTTCTGTCATTAACTTTAGAGCCAGAATCACATGGCCAAAGTTGCCAAGTTCTATAGCTAGATGGGACTGGAACATGTCCTCACTCAGTTACATTTTCACCAGCCTTCTGTCTTTTACTGCCTAAGTGTGTCTGTACCGAAACTTGCTGGGTACACAAAGCTGGCTTCAGGCTCAGAGATCTTCTGGAATCTGCCTTCCCAGCATTGGAATTAAAGGTGTGTCCTGTGACACTTGGCTCTAAGTTTTCCTTTAGTTTCTATCCACAAATTGGAAACTTAGAAGAGTGGGATCTGGCATAATCCATTTTTCTTCTTCAACACAAGATTTAGCACTTCTTGGTGTTTCTTTTCTCCTCAAAATGTACCTTTTGTAATTTTCCCTGCTCATCTTACTCCTTTTTTAAAATTATAAATCTTCATTAGATTTATCACTAATATCCACACAACTAGGCTGTTTGGAGATCTTTTGCCAATGCAATTCATCTAATACTCTTCATTTAGCTTCAGGTAGACTCATCAGACAAGGGCAAAAGGCAGTCATTTTCTACACTAACTATCACAAGAAGAATCACTAGGCAGCACACTGTATCTTCTCTTAATGAAAGCACTTGAGCAAGCTTTGGACAGTTCAAATAACTATTACCACCTCTGTCTTCCATTCTCCTACTGGTGTGGCCCATTAAGCAGTTCTTAAGGCACCCCACTGCTTTTATAACCCAAAGATCCAAAGTCCAAATTCCACCAAACAAACAAACAAACAGAACCCCAAAAATAATATGGTCCAACCTATCACAGAAATAACTCAGTCCCTGGTACTGACTTAGGTTTTTACTGCTGTGAAGAGACACCATGATTATGGCAACTCTCAAATGCAGAGAGGGAGGACAAGACCAGGCTACAGAAACCCACAGAGACAGCTGACCTGAAAAAGGAGGAACTAACAGGCCCTCAGACTGGTAGATAGCTGATATTGTTCAGATTTATAGCTCCAAATTTCTCTGCATTGCTATAATTAAATTTTAAATACATTATATCACACAATGAAACAACACTTTAGTTGGGAGCATGAATTAAAAGACTAAAATTATCAATAAACATATGCTGAAAAGTTGATGTATTGGATTTTTGTTAGTACTTACAGCTGTGCTTCAGCTGGAACAAAATATCCAGCAGTGTAGCCACAGTGAGACAGAGAAAGGAAAGATAATTTTCATAGATGTTGTACAGTATAATAATAATTTCATGTAAAATACAACCATATTCTACTGGGAACTAAAATATTGAGATATTCAGAAATGAGTTAGAGATACTCTATTATGACGTATAAGTATAGTCAACTTATTTAAGCTTGAATTTGTAGTACAAAGTATATTGTAAGTTATAGTTAATACTGGCACAGTTTTTCAATTTTAAATATGATTTGTATTAAACAGATACCTTTAAAAACAAATGATACAAATATTTACTTCAAGTAATTAAAGTACATGAAGTAAATCATATAAATGAAAGTACCTTCGATTGGCTTAGAAGATTCATTAGTTACAAAGCACAGCAGCACTGTTGTTTCTGTTACAGACAGTTGATATATTAGCAATCTCATTGTTTCATTAGGGATCATAGTACTGTTTGATTTTCTTAAGCGTGCATACAGAGCTCTATGTTTAATATATTTAGCATTTAAATAAGTGAACATTCCTATTGGCCATTACATTCCAATTTCTAGGAGTCAGCAAATACTTTCCTGAACTAGAATTGATTTTAAACATGATTACCAGATAAAATAAATAACAAACTTGAAAAAGAATGGAAATTTTATTTCTTTTAGCTCCAGTTTCCTTCAATATAAATGTAAGAAGTTTTAGGTATGATTCCATTTTATTTTCTTTTTTAAAAAATGACCTGTCAGATCTACATGACCCAACCTGGATGGCATTGCCTTACATATGGAATTGGGGTGGGGGATGGAAGAGGAGGGTGGTCAGGGTGCATGTGAGAGGGCAGAGAGGGCAAATGTGAGGGAGGGAGGGAAGGAGGGAGGGAAGGACAGGGAACTGGGATCGACATGTAAAATAATAAATTAATTAAAAAATACTTTTTTTATTGACTCTTCATGAATTTCACATAATGCACCCAGATCCAACTCATCTCTTTGTCTTCTCCCATCTATCAGGTGGTGCCCTGAGCATAGGAAAACTCAAGCCTATTCCTATAATGACATGCTTCTATCATCAAGGACATATCCACTCCAACCAAGCCATACCTATTAACAGTGATACTCCCTATGAGATTATGGGACCAATTACATTCAAGTTACCCAATTTGAACTCCAGCATGTCCTCAGATAGCAGCCCGAACCTCTGTCATCATTCACCCTTCTAAAGTAATAGGAGTCAAGGACATTAACACAGACACTGGCCACGGACCAGAGATCATCCTTGGCTGCTGTTCAGGTCTGGATGACACCATGACCCCAGGTGGCAACACAGACCAGTCAGATCTGTATGTTCCCAGAGGCAGCCTGCCACCTACCCTACAAAACAAAACAACATTTAAACGAGCAACCAAGAACCAGAAAAACAAACTATAGTTCTTGGTGTGGAAGCTGTAGAGTGGTCCAGTGAGTTCCCACAGTAAACTTTAGTCCATACGTCTTTACTTGAAAGTGTTCCTTTCTGAGTCATTCATCTGGTTTGAGGCCTCTGGCTTCTGTTGCATTATCAATAATGGACCTTCAATGGGACTCCTCTCTGATATCCTGTGTCATGGAGATCCTGCAGCTTTGGATCTGTAGCTCTGGTCCCTTCATATGCTCCTGCAGTTCACAGATGAGGTGGCTCAGGGGTGGCCCAACTCCCGCCCCTGATTATGGGCCTAGGTGGTAGCTGGTTTGCTCAGATCACCAGCTTTATCTTGTAATCCCATCCAGGTGAGCTCTTCAGTATTGCCTCTCGAACTCTCACATCCTTGGGTTTCACTCACTTGCACCTACACCATAACAACACTCTCCAAATCTCTGTAGGGTATGAGGTGAAGTCAGCTCTCCTGCTCCTTTGCCCTCAGCTCCTGCTAACTTGCATTCCTACCAACAATGTCTTCTCTATTGAGCTATGGGGTTTCAGTGCAGGACCTGCTCCCCCTGAGTGATGCAGCTGGTGAAGGTCAGGATCAGCTCTCCCATTCTCGTATCCCTAGGGTCAGTTTTTGCCACCTGCAGTAGATGGTGAGGATGGAGGTGTGAGGGGCTATCTTCCCCTTACCCATACCACCATGTGGCAGTCAGGTTAGCTCTCCCACTCTCCCACCTTCAGAGCCAGCTCACCTCCACCCCTGCCAACAGTAAAGCTCTACTGTGTTGCTCAGGCAAGGAAGGGCCTGTTCTTCTAAGTGCTGCAGTTGGTGAGGGGCAGGGACAGTTCTCTATAGTGCTGTAGCCATTGAGGGTTAGGGCCAACTCTGTGCATCCCTACCTTCTGTCTTCAGTGGTAACAGGAGCCACAGGCTTCAACCCAGATTTAGGCTGCAGCAAGGCCATGGTTCCAGACATCATTATTGGCTGCCATTCATTCCTGGATGACACCATGGTTCCCAGGTAGCAGTGTAGACCACTCAGGTCTGTACTGTCCCGGCCTAGAATAGTCCTTGGACACTAACATGGCTGTAGACTTCTGTGTGGTCCTTGATGGCACCATAGGCCATCAATACAGCCCCCAGCTGCAGTTGGACAATGGACCCAGACCTGGTCCTTTGCAGCAGCCCAGATGTCACTGTGGATCCTGTTGGTAGTGCAGGTCACTCAGAAAAGCCTAGACCCAGCAGCAGCATGGCCTTTGAACACTCCATAGCCCAAGATGATGATCCAGATCCCAGGCATTTGCACAATCCTCGATGGCAACAGGAGACCCAGACATCAATGCCAACATTGCCTGAAGTAGGGCCATAGACCTAGGCATGGCCTTGCCTATTGCTTATATCCATACAATGCCAGGGGTAGCTTTTGCCAGTCATGTCTGTATAGACCCAGCAGTGGCGCAGATCTTGGACACTAGCATGGCCATAGGAGGCAGCCCAGGTCCCAAGCAAACTCTGTAGCCTTTTGTGGCAACATGGGCCATCAACACCAACATAGACTCTGACTGCTGAAGGAGCATGGACTCAGACATGGTCCTTGGAAGCAGCCCAGGCCCAGATGTCTTTGTGGCTCTAGCTGGCCCAGATCAGAATGACCCCAATGAAGCATTGCCCCTATCTTAAGATTTGTATTGCTATGAAGAGACACCATCACCATGACAGCTCATAAGGAAAACATTTAATTGGGGTGGCTTACAAGTTTCAGAGGTTCAGTCCATTATCATCATAGTAGGGATCATGGCAGGAAGCATGGCAGAATGCAGGCAGAGGTGGTACTGTAGAATAGCTGAGAGTCCTATATCTTGCAGCAACAGGATGTCTAATGACACACTTGGTTGTGCCTTGAACATAGGAAAACTCAAGCCTATTCCTATACTGACACACTTCTATCAGCAAGGACATACCCACTCCAACCAAGCCATACCTATTAACAGTGATACTCCCTATGAGATTATGGGACCAATTACATTCAAATTACTACCATTTGAACTCCAGTATATCCACAGGCAGCAGTCCAGATCCCTGTCATCATTCACCCTTCTAAAGTAATAGGAGTCAAGGACATTAACACAGATGCTGGCCACGGACCAGAGATCATCCTTGGCTGCCATTCAGGTCTGGATGACACCATGACCCCAGGTGGCAACACAGGCCAGTCAGATCTGTAATGTCCCAGAGACAGCTTATCCCTCCAATACTAACATGGCCTGAGGTTTCAGCCCAGGACATGGGCTTCCATGGACTTCAGTGCAACATGAGCCACAGATATCAACACAGCCCGTCTACAGCAGCGTATGAACCCAGCATTGCCTTTGGCAGCATTGTGATCCTGGACTTCATTATGGTCTTGGATGGCAGTATAAGACTCCCAGATGGGCATGGCCACTATGGGGAATATTCTTCTGATTGCAGTTGGTGGCCCAGACTATGGTTGTTCACAAGGTCCTTGAAGGTAATAAGAGCCATAGACAACAACACAGACCCCTATGCATTGTCAGGGCCATGTCATGGCATGTCGTGGCTCATGACATGATCCTTGGCAGCAGCCCATAGCCCTGGGTAGCCAACAGGATATCCATGTTGGTCCATTCCTCACTAACCTTGCTCCTTAAAATCTGCCTTTCTCCCCAGAACATGAGCCATTTTGCCTCCCCTTTTCTCCAATTCATTACTCTGAAATCACACACCATAATGGTGCCAGGCTGCTGCTTGTTGATTTCTACCTGACTAAGCCAAAAGGCATGTAGTTGAGCTATGGCTGTCATCCTCAAGTGCCCCTGTGTCTCTGATTACATTTTTCTTTAGTTGTTTAAGATATGTAGTTTTGTGACAGTTAAAATTTGCATAGTCATGACGCATGTTTCTTCTATTGAATTGACAAGGTAAAATTGATTTCATAACATGTTTAAATATTGATTTTGTTCTTGTTATTTTACTAACTTTGTTTCCTCTCACCTTCACAATTTATTATAGAATCTAACAGGTCACAACTTACCAGATAATGGGTTTTGTTTCCACCTCCTGATGCTGGCTGGAATACAACTTCTCACTTGTGTTTTGCTGTTACCTGTATTCAGTCAGGAGGTATATGCATGTCCTCTTATGCTCTTCCACAGCACACTCTCTGCTTACTCTCCCCTTCTTTTATGCTGCTCACTGCTCTTCACAGAGATCATATTAGTGCAGTTTTCACCTGCTTCTCTCTTAACAATAACACTACTAAGAATAATAATATATGTTCCTTTTAAATTTATTTCTTTCATTAAAGGAAGCAGTTTCTCATTATTAACGTGAATAACCATTGGAATAATGTTGTGGAAGTATTTTTAAAATCATCAAATAATTTGAAAATACACAAGTATGCTTCTTGATTAACTCAAGAGGGCACTACAATATATGCACAAGTGTTCTAAACATCCCCAGTTTACTAAGTATAAGGTCCACACATGGGTGGTGGTGACAATTCTCTTGTGTATTGTGCAAAGATGCCATATAACTGCTTTCACAAGTCATCTCTTGAACTCCTGGATTAGCTCTGTCAGTCAAGGCCACCTGGTATAAAGTACTTACTCTCTTTTAATTGTTCACATTGTCATAGTACCATCACTGTGCTATTTTTGTGAATGGGAGCTATATACTTATAGCTTATTAGACTAAATTTGGGGGTTTGTAATATGCTGTGCCTTATAATATAAAAACTTCTTTCCTGTCCTTATTACTGTAAGATAATTAAAATTTATAAGCATGCTTATGAAGTAGTGACTTTTCTATTGTGTTAATGTAACAATCATAAAAGAAAGTGTTACTTAGCCTCCCAGTGGCAGAGTTCAGAGTCTACAATGGCAGACTGAAGGCATGTCAGTAGGGACAGCTGGAAGAACATGTACTGATTCACACACAGAAGGCAGAGTACACTCTGGAAATGGCAACAGTCTTTTGAAAACTCAAAGCCTGGCCCCTAGTGACATACTTCCTTCAGCAAAGTCACACTGTTTAATTCTTCCCAAACTTTTACTAAGTGGGGACTAGTTCATTAAAAGCCTAAGATTTTGGGATCGCATCATAGAGTCACCACATTAAGTAATACTTTAACCTATATAAACCAAATTCATGGAGAAATCTGGCACTAAGGAAATGCCCAGAGATCTACAAGGACGACCCAAATAACAATCTAAGTAATAGTGGAAAGGCTATCTGTAATGCCCTGCCCTGACAATGAGATTGATGACTACCTTATGTGCCATCCTAGAGCCTTCTTCAAGTAGCTGATGGAAGCAGAAGCAGACATGCACAGCTAAATACTAGCTGAACTCCTATAATTCAGTTACAGAGAGGGAGGAGTGATCATCAAAGGGGTCAAGACCAGGCTGGAGAAACCCACAGAATCAGCTGACCTGAACAAGAGTGAGCTCATGTACCCCAATGTGATAGCTGGGAAACCCACATAGGACCAACCCAGATTCCCTGAATCTGTTAGTTAGGAGGACTGGGTAATTTATGGGGCCTCTAGTAATGGATCAGAATTTATCCCCAGTATAAGAATCAACTTCGGGAGCCCATTTCACATGGAGGGATATTCTCTCAGCCTATACACATGGAGGAGGGCGTAGGCCCTGCCCCAAATGATATGACAGACTTTGAAGATCCCCCATGGAAGGCCTCACCCTCCCTGGGGAGCTGAGATGGGATGATCAGGGGTTTGGTGGGGGTGATAGGGAAGGATGGGAGAGTGAGGGAACTGGGATTGACATGTGAAGCAACCATGTTTCAAATTTAAATAAAAAAAGGAAAAACAAACACAAATTTATTTCTAAAATATTGATGGTATACTCTTGTGTTTTTATTCTACTCCATCAAGAAAAGGTCTCAGAATACTTCTCATCAAACAGCCAAAAGACACTGAACATGTAGGTGCCTACAGAAGAGAAGACAGCTCTTAAGAAACAATCACTTAAGAAAGCAGAATCTGATATATGGTAAAAAAAAAAATATTTAATTGTAGTAAACTATTTCTATATAGAAATCTATTTCTCTCTACTATCTAGTATTCCTGAAGTCCCAATTTTTGTAAACCAATGCTGGCTTTGGAGTTGGATTTGGCTTTCCTTCTCTAAATTCAAGCATGTTGTTAAGATTAAATTCATGGTTTCTGCCTTAAATCAAGAAGCCAATTGGTGTAAGGCAGAAGAAAACAAAATCTGGGGACTCATAACTTATATGCAATTTTCTCTCTGAAATTCTAATTTTCTCACATATTTTTAATGCTTATTGTTGTCTTTCCCTAATGCATACCTTAAAACTTAAAAATTTTACTTTAATATTGATGTGTAACTTTTCCACAAGGAAAATAACAATTCCTAACAGCAGTCTTTAAACTCTCCGGAAAGAAGATGGGGCCCCACATCATCGTTTCCACTTGACTCAACCTGATGCATCTGAACTACAAACATCACCCTAAAACTGATTTGAGACTGTTTTGCTCGAGACAACTCATGACTAGCTAGCTGTAATGGTGCACCTTTTTATTATACCCTGGCCAGAGTTTCAAATAAAACTATAGTCAAGAATTTTCTGCCACACAGTGACTAGCTACATATGTCACAGCCAGTTCTGTTGAGAAATTTGGTTGCTAAAAATTTTCTTCCTACAGGATCCATTGGAGCAATCATTGTCCCATTTCAACAGGAAGTAATCTTAATATGACGACGCCCCCTTTCCCTACCCTTGGAATTTTGGGATAATAGTCATCGTCTTTGGGTTGGTTTTAGTTATTTGGGATTGGGTGATGCTTACACTCGGGTTTATCTTTTAGACAGAAATAGGGAATGGTTGGGAAAGGTATGGTTTAGATGGGATATAGGTAGATTAGCTTATTTTATTGAGAATTTGAGTAAGAATGAGATA